TGACCAGTAAGTGCTTAGAAAGTTGCCTCGGCAGTGTAGACGTGACCAGTGCTGTGCTGCACATTGTTAGCCAACAGCTCTCTGGAATGTATTTTGAAAAGGTCCACGGGGCGCCTGGGTGGCTCAGTCTGTTAAGCATCTGACTTTGGCTCAGCTCATGATCTCCCGGTTCGTGGGTTCGAGCCCCGCGTCGGGCTCTGGGCTGACAGCTCGGAGCCTGGAGCTGCTTGGGATTCTGTGTCTCCCTCTCTCTGACCCTCCCCCATTCATGCTCTGTCTCTCCCTGTCTCAAAAATAAATAAAACGTTAAAAAAAAAAATTTTTTTTTTTTTTTTAAAGAAAAGAAAAGGTCCTAATGGTACCCTTTGTCCGTTGCTTGGCATAAACACTACATTCGTACCGATTTCAGGCTGCCAGGGTGATAGCCAACTGCTTGCAAAATACCTGGAATTTTAACCGCCTGCTCTCGCCGCCTTGTAAGAGCCGGTTGGTAAGGTCCAGCTCCAGCACGCCTGTGGACATAGCCTTCCTTTCAGGTGCCCTGCCGTCTGTGGGAGTGTCCGAATTGTCATGACGACCAGGGGGCGAGGAAAAGGAGCTACAGTGAAGCAGCATCTACCCTGCAGTCGAACGGGTGAAGATTCCAACATAGGATATTTTGCTGCAGGCCCCCAGCAGAGACCCAGACTTTAGACAAGAAAGACGTGAGAAGCTTCCAGCCCCAGTCGTGCTAGACGACTTTGGCTTGGAGGTGGCTGAGGTCTGCCTCCCGGAGGGCCACAGTCTGGTCAGGAAGGAAGGACTCTGAGAACAAGACGTAGTAGTGACCGGATGCCTGTGTGGTGGTCTGAGAGGTTCTGAGAATTTCCAGAGCTTGGGCAGCTCGCAGGGGGCCTCTGAGCACACGCAGAGCAAGTAACTGTGGGAAGGATGGCAAAAAGAATCAAGTGACTAAACTGATGTTTTTAATGTTTATTTATCTACTTTGAGAAAGAGAGTGTAAGCAGGGGAGGGGCAGAGAGAGGGAGAGAGAGAGAGAGAGAGAATCCCAAGCAGGCTTCAGGCTGTCGGCGCAGAGCCCGAGATGGGGCTTGATCCCATGACCATGGGATCATGACCTGAGCTGAAATCAAGAGTCCGGTGCTTAACCGACTGAGCCACCCAGGCGCCCCAAAATGATTTAATTTAGTAAAATAAAGTATAATAACGAAAGAACGCATTTGTCCCTCCTTTGTGTTAAAATCCCGTCCAAATGCTGAACTGGATTTCTTGAACCTTCCTCCCACCATCCACCCACCTCAGCATCATCACCACTGTCCTCATCTTGTCTGTACTGTGTTCATCCTCAGAGGACAGAGCTTGGTGAAACAGACTTGGCCCTAGTCACTCTTGGAAGGAGTTCCCGTTAGACAACATCTCTACCAAATATCTCTTCCTAGAGACGCATTTCATCGGCGTGTCCCTCTCTGCAGAATTCTCTCATATAGTAGACTCCATTCCTTCTTCTGAACTAGCTAGTGTGGGGGACGGGGCAAAGTTCTTGTGAAACTTCGAATGGCAAGGAGCGTATTGACACTAGAAAGGGCAGACAAGTATGAAAAAAATATATAAAATGTACATAAATAAGAGCTTCATTAAGTAACATGCACTGATTTTAAACGTGCACAACATTCTTGTTACTACTTAAAAATAGAATGATGAAGGATGATTTGGTGGGAGTAATTGTTTAGTGAAAAAAATCAATTTAACATCACTTTGCTTTCAATTTCTGCTGCCAAGAAAACTCATGCTGTATCTTCTAATTCAAACATAAGTGTCTCCAGAAACCTTTGGATCCCGTATTACAAAGCCCCATCTGTTTCACCCTTTCCAAATTAGCATTTTAGCTTAATTCACTGATGAATTTTCTGACATTCGCTTGATTCCCCCCCCCCCGCCTTGTTATCTAAAGTTACAACTGGCATCTTTTAGATTTGGATTCCACTTAGAAAATAATTTTTAGCTTTTTAAAATCCTTTTTAGGAATGAGCAGGGTATAAATAAATAAAATTTAAAACACGATGCAAATATGTAAGTACAAGGATGTTTACTGTTGCATCGTTTGCACAAGCAACAATTGGAAAGAAATGTCTGTGAATCGAAGGGTGGTTAAAGCAATTGCTAAAAAAGCAATTGTTCAATCTGTTGAGAGGAACGTTCTGATATGGAAGGCTAGATACAGTAGAGAAAGTAGAATAAAGCAAACTGAAAACTCAGTATAGGGGTCCCTGGTTGGCCCAGTCGGTTGGACATTTGACTCTTGATCTCAGCTCAGGTCCCGATCTCAGGGTTTGTGGGTTCGAGCCCCACATCGGGCTCCGCGTTGATGGCGTGAAGCCTGCTTGGAGTTCTGTCTCTCCGCTCTGCCGCTCTCCCGCCTGTCCTCTCTCTCTCTCTCTCTCCAAATAAATAAATAAACTTAAAAAATTTAAGAGAAAAAAAATCAGTAGACAGTCTTATGTATAGAAAAAAAAGGAAAGCGGGCCAGAAAGCAGACTGAAAGTCCTTCCAAGGACAGAAGGCGACTAGCTCTGGGGTGGAGACAGGGAAAGTGGAATAGGTGTTTGGGTCTTCTGCACTAAGGATGTGTGGATTCGTACCATCTTGTAATTTAAAAATCCAAACCAAAGCAAAAACTCTTGAGTTGTCCAGCATAGATAATAAAATAGCAAATGACATGTAAGAGTCATCAGAAACGTTGAAGAGTTCCTTCCTACTTCTATTTTGGATGATTTCACACCTATACTCAAGGCAAAATAAAAAGGAAAGAAACTTAAAACGCACACGAGAGAAAATGATCGGAGCCAAAGAAAACAACCCGGGTACAACTGTCTAGGAAGGCATAAAGAGATTACAGTTTTAGGTAGAATACGGGACAAACATATTTGTGTATGTAGAAGTGTGTTTTGGTTTGGGGGAGCACATTTTTCTCTTTTCTCTCTCCCTTTTTTTTGAAGTTTATTTACTTATTTCAAGGCGTGGGGAGGGACAGAGAGAGAGAGAGAGAGGAACAGACAGAATCCCAAGCATTGCCAGTGCGGAGCCCAACATGGGGCTTGAACTCACGAACGGAACTGCGAGATCGTGACCTGAGCCGAAGTCGAGAGTCAGAATTTTAACTGACTGAGCCACCAGGTGCCCCGGGGAGGTCATTTTTCCCGTAATAATAACGATGATAGTAGTAATAAGTTGCCGTTACTGTATGGCAGGCAACATCTTAAGTAATCTTACTTTCATTAACTCATGTAATCTCAACAACCCAGTTAGGAAGAGTCTACAGTTGCTCCCATTTTACAGATGAGAAATGGAAGCAGAGAGAGGTTAAGGCCGAGGTCATGTAGCTTGAAAGCGATGCAGCTGGGATTCACACCCACGCGGTATGAATCCAGAGTCTATACACCTAATCACTCCCCTGAAGTTGTCCGGCCAAAAAGGTACATGCCGTCCGTTAGGCACGCACGTCTATGTGATGGAGAGTGAGCGTCGCCCCAGAGGAGCCGGTCCAACAGCATCAGCCTTCCTCTGAGCTCCCCACACACGCCCAGACTGCTCTTGGCAAGTTCTCCCCATACATGCAGCCAACTGTTTCTTTGGATGCTTATTTTCTGGTATTTTTGTGTAACTGCACTTAGTTGAGGGGGCTAGTTTGCCTTGGGAAGCAATTATAGAAGGACAGGGCACCAGAGAAGCTGGGGTTACTCTGAGTTGGGGTGGTTGTTGGGGGCAGGGAATAGAAAATAGGTCAGAGCAAAGAGGGTGTTGAGAGAGGTGGAGGGAAATTCAATGGGAAAGCTATGATTTATTCATGAATCAGCAGCCAGGACAGGAGTGTTCCTCGGACTTCCTCCCACCTGCC